AGTTATTTTAAGCAATGTGATAATGGACTAATACATGGGGTCATTGACAATGTCTTCTATGGCCCTACCCTTTACATTATTGAGGTCTGCTTATTTCCTATGTTAGGTTCCCTGAATTCCATCATTGATTCTTCAGGGTCACAGCTGCTTACAATTTATTTATCTATGTAAGCTTAATGATAATGGACTTAGTAGTACAGGCTACAGTACCCCTTGCTCTAGATATTTCTGAATCTGCAAGTCATATTCATTATTCTTCTACCACCTATTCCATCTTTCTCTCATCACTGGCCATCATCTTTGCTGATTTATGTTATTTGCTGGGAGGGGTCACTGAGAACTTCATCCACGAGGTGATGAACTTCTGTTTACCATTCCATTATCAGACTTGGTTACTGAAGTCTTCCGTATGTGATTATTGTCATGAAAGCATTGAGAGATGCCCTGGTGAATCTCTTGAGTTACAGATACACCTCCCTGTTCCTCTTATGCAGTAGCAAGTCCAGCTTCTCATTATAAACAGGGTTAATCACCCTTGCCAGCATAGTAACTCCTTTCTTTTCCTGATAGACTGCTGGCATGTGGAGCTAAAAATGACCAGATGGCAGCTATAACTTTAGATTTAGTGGAATCCTAAATGGTCCCCTGGTAGAGGTGTGTATACCCCTATCCCACCTCACCATGGAAACCAGAACCTCTGTTTCTCCAGAGTTTATAGATATTGGCATAGAAAGCACAAATTTGCCAAGTGGATAATCAGAATCTTTGGTGGGAGGGGCTGCTCCTACTTTCCTTTTTTTTTTTTTTTTTTTTAGACGGAGTTTCGCTCTTGTTGCCCAGGCTGGAGTGCAATGGCGCGATCTCGGCTCACCGCAACCTCCGCCTCCTGGGTTCAGGCAATTCTCCTGCCTCAGTCTCCCGAGTAGCTGGGATTACAGGCACGCGCCACCATGCCCAGCTAATTTTTAGTATTTTTAGTAGAGACGGGGTTTCACCATGTTGACCAGGATGGTCCTGATCTCTTGACCTCGTGATCCACCCGCCTCGGCCTCCCAAAGTGCTGGGATTACAGGCTTGAGCCACCGCGCCCGGCCTGCTCCTACTTTCATCCCTTGTCTCTCAGACCTATGTAGTTTGTCTCTTGGAGTAACAGTACCATATAATGACTGTTGGTTCAAAGAAAAATCTAGTCTTGAGGGACAGTGTTCCAGCACCACTGCGTGTCATTCCCAAGCTGTGAAGTTTGGAGTCCATTCCAATTTTCTGCTAGTCTTGCAGCTTCTGCATGATATATAAATGGTAGGAGCAATGTATCCCATGGTCATGTGACCTGAGCAATAAGGATACTCATATCCCAGTCTGAACCTACTGGAGAGCCTTCTCTTGGCCCTAGCCTTACCTCACATCAAGTTGGAAGTCAGGACAATATGGACTGATAATGGCTAAAATTCTGTTTAAACATTCTATTGCAGCATGAGTATATACCAAAACAAAATTGAAGAAAGTATGGCAACTAATTGATATGTTTTCATAAAGGTATGTTTTCATAAACATACCTGAATGTAGCTTAGATTTTTCACAATGATTTTATAAGAATAGATTGATAGTTTCATAAACCAATAATGCTTGGACTCCCTTACTACTTGAATTTAAAAATTCTTTAGGTCAGTTTGTGCCCCAGAAATACAGCACTTACTGGATATAAGCTGAGTACAACCCAGCCATAAATTCATCCTGTCTCCTAGTACAAGATTTATGAGTTCTATAGGATTTATATAAAATTTTTCCCCTCTTTGTATTATAGTGAAATTCAATATGTATATATTTGATACATACATACATGTATATATATGTATATATATATATAATTTCCCTTTCTGTCATTTTTTGTAAGGCTAATCTCACTTTCACAGCTCCACCAGCTCAAAGGCTGAGGGAACATATGCTTCTCCATATGCCCAACACAGATTCCTCAATGCATTTATTACTCAGAGCTTGGTGATTGAAGAATGTTTGTACTATTTTATTTTTCCTCAATGTGAGTCATTCTACTGTACATTTCAAAATCTGTGATAAGTTGAAAGATCCAAGAATGGAGGTACATGTCAACAAACAGCTTTCCATCTGGTAAATGAGAGATTTTATTTATAATCAGGTATTCAGATACAGTGGTATAAAATGAGATTCAAATCATTTTATTTCATGACTGAAGGGCTAAGCAAAAACACTAACCACCTCCAATCCATTCACTGCACTGCAACCAGATCAGGAATCCCCTCTGCCTTAAACTCTCCAATGAGTCTAAAATCCACATCTTGAGATATTGTGGCCCTCCATGATCTAGCTCTCAGCTCCTTCTTCAGACTATCTCTCAAAGATTCTCCTTCCTTTCTACACTCCAGCTAAATGAGATCTTTCCGTTAGCACAACTCAAGCATAATATATAGGTAGGAAATGTTCAAAACCCAAGTCAATTTTAATCTAGAACTTACTACCAAGTAGAATTTTTCATCCATTGAACTCCAAGGGAGCATCTAGAAGTTAGGGTTTAGGGTTTAGGATGGAAGTAGGGACAGCCATTGTGAGGATCTGCTTTAGATTTTTAGTCCAAAGGGATCATCTAGTAAATTATTCCTCTGGCACCATATCTGGGACTACTGCAAAAGCCAGACCCGGACTAATCCGCAAAAGTAATTCAGAACTCCTGGGATGTTCAACTGATAGACTTAATTCCTCTGGCCCTAGAGTTTAGTAACACCCTTCTCTCTTTACCACCCACCCAAGGCAGGAGGTTTCCTAGCTAACAATGTCCCACCAGTTGCCTAAGGAGTTACTCCAATTTGAGATATGTTATCAGTTTTAATTGGGAAGCCTGAGTTGGTCCAAAGTTCAAGCACAAGCTGACAGATTTTGTGCATCATAAGGTTATGAGATGTTCCAAACACCATTCCAAGCCAAGGGGGAGGTGTTCTGAGACTTTTTCATTTTGTGTCTTTGAATCTTCTCATTTTGTTTAAGCCAGCCTTTTGGCAAAGTATCCTCATCATTTTTTTTTCTCTAAGTTTGCCTACTCATTTACGAGCAGAAAAAAATCAATTGGTTAACCTTTAGAAAGGCTTTAAATGTGCTTAGTTCACTAAGGAAGCTTTGGGATATAAAGCAAGTGTCTTCACAAAGTTTGAATCTGGGTGAATTGAACAGATAAAACTTTAATTGATTAAATAATAAAGTGCTAAAATGTGTAAACTTACCACTGTGAGGAAAAATTTTAGTGAATATTTCACAGGAACAGTGAAAATTTTGCTGCAAATTAAAGGAAGAGTAGGATTAATATTAAGATAAATGACTATAGGGAGTTTGTTGCAAGGATGGTATCTCAGCTCTGGCTGCTATAACAAATATACCATAGACCGGGTGGCTTAACAAACATTTATTTCTCATGGTTCTGGAGGCTGAAAGTCTAAGGTAAGATACAGTACAGTTGGATGTTGGTGAAGGCCTTCTTCCAGGTTTCTCATAGCGAACCTCTCGTATCCTCACGCAGAAGGAGGTCAGGCTAACTCTCCAACCTCTTCTTATGAAGACTGTAATCCCATTCATGGAGTCTCCACTCTCCTGACCCAGTTATCTCCCAAAGTCCCCATTGCCAGATACATTGGGATTAGGGTTTCAACATATGAATTTTGAGGAGGCAGGACACAAACATTTAGCCCATTGTAGGCTTCAGAAAGCACTGCCTGTTAGTGGTTCTCAAGCCGTACCATGCATGCATCAGAATCTCCTTGAGAAAGATTGTTAAAACACAGATTTCTGCCCTGCACCCACCCCACCCATACCCATCGCCCTAGAATTTCTGATGGGATGAGGCTGGAGAATTAGCATTTTTCACAAGTTCTCAGGTGAGGTTGATGCTGCTGGTTTGGGGCCCAAGCTTTGAAAGCTACTAGTTTAGACTGTGTTGATAACTGGATGGCTCACCACACAGTAAATCGCATCTGCTGATGATAATGCTGCAAATTGCCTTTCTTAGTGATACCCTTTGCTCTGCATTACTTTCCACCCTGAAGTATATGATGCTCCCATTTTCACCTCTACATTGCTCAGTTCACCTTGCCTTTCCCTTGCTGCCCTATTCCCACATTCTTAAGGCTGTCACCAGATGGAGTTTAACCATTTCCTGCCTTTTTTTGTTGTTGTTCTCCTTGTAAGCTGATTTCCTGTTTTGCGACTGACTGTTAGACAATCTAAATTTTAGATTTCTAGAAGGGAAAAGTAGATAATGTTATCAGTTTCTTTGCTCTCCTGCTGATTCATTGGTAAATGAAAGTGGTGATGTGAGAGACCTGATTTCTATTTTCTGTTCAAAACTGATGATAATTTTTCAAACAGAAGTGTATTTGCCTTGGAACTCTTTCCCTTTGATGAAATGATTACCCAAGTAGGTAAAAGTGTAACTGCAGTGGTTCTGATAATTGCATGTTGATATGAGGCTTTACATATTAAATTATTAATATGGGTTGACCCTTGCAGAAACTTTGAATTTTTTTCGTCTTCAATCACAGTACATAGCAAATTATAAACTAGCCAAACCCATCAGAACTTCTTTCCATTAATAATGAAAGGAGTTTTTAAATAGCACACGGTAGGCATTCATATATTTGGTGAATGAACAAATGAATGCATTCAAAATAAATGCATAAATGATTTTTCTTTTCTTCACGAAACAAAAACAGACATAGTTCCATGAAATATAGGCACGGGTATTTTGTATCAGTTTTAAATTTGGCAGACTACCAAGTGTTAATTTGCTTTTAGCTAGTTGAGATTAAATGTAATTCCTTCCCCAGGCAACCCTAAAGTAAGTAAGCATGAAAGCATTTTCAGAGTAATCTGGGAGGAATTGACATTTAAAGGAGTTAGCATTACATCTGTACTTTAAGGCTATTAATTTCATAGATAAATTAACTTCATTACTCCATCTTTATCTTGCATTTTGAAAGGACTCCATCAGCTGGAAGACTGAAAGCCGAAGGTCAATTGAAACTGCTCTTATCCCAGCCAGGTTGTAATTGGAACTTGCTTCTGGAAACCCTACTGCATCATGACGGACTTTTGCTGAGAATCTTGCTAAAAAGCTCAAGTGAGTATTTGTAGTTATGAGAATGCCCTTGAAAAACCTAGTCATTGCTCAAGTTTAATAACATTTTTTTTTCTAGGCAAATATTGGAAGAAGGATATAAACGAACGGCATGCATTAAGTCAGTTGGGTTAGCAGCAGGCAAAAGAATTACATCACTTTACCAACCTACTTGAAAGAATTTGTATGACTCTGAATAAGAGAAAACTATATTTTTATATGACACTGTTCTATCACAAATATCATTATGTAGAAATGTATCCATATGCAGGGTTTGAAATGCCTAAAATAATTGTAAGAATGTAGTTATATTTCTAAAGCACAAGTCTGAATTAGACCTAGACACACACACACACACACACACACACACACACACACACAAACACTGTGTGTGAGAGAGAGAGAGAGAAAGAGAGAGAGAGAGAGAGAGAGAGAGAGAGAGAATTAGACTAACACTGGAAATGTCAGTGTATCATTAAGAGTGCTTGTGCAACATACAAACAAGCAAGCTGTGGCCTACAGCTATATCCATTGGAACATAGAGTAGGAATCATCAGAAAATTTTAAATGGAAATTGAGGAGTAATAGAAGACCATACTTCTCTTAATTACTTCCCCCTCCATAAATGCTTTTTAAGGAAGTGGTAAGTAATGTTATGTCAATATAATAATACTTCTCATTGCTGTCCCACTTCATCTAGGAAGAGTCTAACCATTTTCACATGCTCCTGTGCATCTCTCCTATTCCGCACAAGTGAAGCCTGATTAACTTTATCGATTACTAGGTTCACTGTAGGTTCCCAAATCAAAATCTTTTTTCTATAGTTTCTCATCACCTGCAGGACCAAAGCCAGGTCCCTTCACCAACCAGATATGATCCCAGATGGTTTTCTAACCTTTTCCCCCACTATTTTCTTGCACACACCACCCACTTACTCCTGTTCCAGTTGTTGTCCCCAAAGCCCCAAGCATGTGTTTGCTCCACACCTTGGCTCATCTGTCTTTCCTTCTTAAAGACCTGCCCTAAACATCTTGGCTTCCACCAGTCTGCAAAGGCCAGCTGATGTTTCGGAGCTTTGAATGCCCTATCTCTCACTGATCTCTTCCTCTCTGATCCTCATAGTGAACTTTCATCTTAGTTACTTTATTTGCCCTTAGCATGTGCTGCCTTATATTTTTATTGTGTTTATATATGAATGAGGCAAATGCCGTTAGGCCCTATCAGCCTGTTAGTATACAAATGAGCTTATAGCCTTCCCTTGTCTAAATAGCTCCAGTCATTTCTGGTAATTTTTGTTTTCTTGTATCTGCTCAGGACCAGTTCCCCATATTCTCTCCCATCCACCTTGATGTTTGCTTCCCCAAAGGCACTTAGGAGTGGTATCTCCTGTGAGAATATTGCTCCTCCCCTGGTGCTCTCCAAACTGTAAAGCCATATAATGCCAGTGGTCACCACAACTTGTCAGGCCACACTGTGTTCCAAGCAGAAGGGCACAGCTTGTTCCCTCCCAAACCCTGAATCTGAATTTATTTCCTTAGCTCCCAAACAGTACTGTTTGGGCCTCTAATCTCACAAAGTTTATCTGAAAACAATTAATTTAGCTTCAGGCTTAACGACCACTCTCCTAGGGAAAACTCACACTAGGGAAACTACTTCCTTAAGTGATCAACATTTGTTGTTCACTTATTAGTTATCAGGCACTATGCTAAGCATTTTATACACATTATCTAATTTGATTCTCTTTATAATCTTATAAAATATATACTATTGTTACTCTCATGTTAAATGTAAGGACATTGGCATTGAAGATAAATATTACTTACCCAGAGATACACATATCTGACAAACAGTGAGTAAATCTCGATTTTGAACCCAGCCAGAGCTTTCTGTCCCCTGCCCTTCCAATACAAATACTCATGCAAATTAAACCCTGAAGTGGAATAGCAGTAGTATTGGGAAGAATTGTTATCTGTATACCTCAGGTTGGATCAACCAGGACATCTTGGTACACATGCATTTAACTTGCCTCTCCAGCTTGTTAGGCAAGGTAAATTTTTATATTCCTCCTTAAGCTGGCACAGTGCTTTTTACATAAAGAGTTCAGTAAACAGTGCTTGGCAAATCAGTGATCAATTAGAATATAAAACATAGTGCTTCCCTTAAACTTTATAGTAAGTGCTTTTCAGACAAAGAAGCTACGTGACAAGGATAGTATCTGACACAGCTGAGAGTTACTCTGATGTAATTGTTGAAATTCACAGGCATGGTCCTATAAGAGAAATGGTCTCCATTGGATAGAAGTATGGAGAATAGATTGCAAAATCAGTTGAGATAAGCCTTTTGACTATATTGAGATAGCCACTAACTACAGAAAGTACAATCATAGTTATGACTATTTAACCATATTCTCTTGCAAATGAATCCTACATTTACTTATCACAAATAAATATGTCCACTGTCGGGTATATATAACATGATGTTGTTTAAAAAAAAACTTAGAGTTATCAAAGGTGTCATATTGTGCTAATTTTAGTTCTGGCTCTTATGGAGTAGAGCAGTGTATCCAATCTGCTCAAATATCCATCATTTTGAACAAAGGCTATTAGACTACATGGTTGCTCTGGTATTGTCTTGTATTCAATTTTACTAGCTACTTCAAACACCATAAGGATAAAGTGACTGATTTTACTAATCAGTTGATTGACCTACTTCTTAATCTCCAATAGAATTCGTGTCACTTCCAATTAGAAACAATATATTCTTAGAATCTTGTTAATTATACTAACATGGACATTATTATGCACATAAAAATTAATTTGTAGTATTTTTATATTTTATTTTTATTTGATCAAAAGTCTCACAATATTTTCAAAGTACCATTTTGTAATTTAGAAGCTTGATAATTTTAGAAAATATTAGGAAAGCAAAATCTGTGAAACCCCATCTCTACCAAAAAATATACAAAAATTAGCTGGGCATGGTGGCGTGCACCTGTAGTCCCAGCTACTCAGGAGGCTGAGGCAGGAGAATTGCTTTAACCCAGGAGGCGGAGGTTGCGGTGAGCCAAGATCGCGCCACTGCCCTCCAGCCTGGCGCCTGGTGATGAAGCAAGACTCTGTCTCAAAAAGAAAAAAAAGGAAAGCAAAATCTTTGAGTAAAATACTCTGAATTATATATTTCAAGCAACATAATTATCAGCTTTTTGGGAGTTTTTAAAAGAATAAATAAATAGTGTGTTTTTCATTTTTAAACTAATAAGCAACTTCAGCAAAGTCTTAGGATACAAAATCAATATGTAAAAATTGCTAGCATTTCTATATACCAACAGTGAAGCCAAGAGCCAAATCAAGGATGGGCTCCCATTCACAATTGCCACAAAACAAATAAAATGTCTAGGAATACAGCTAACAAGGGAAGTGAAGGACCTTTGCAAGAACTACAAACCACTGCTCAAAGAAATCAGAAATGACACAAACAAATGGAAAGACATTTCTTGCTCATGGAAAGGAAGAATCAATATTGTGAAAATGGCCACATTGCCCCCAAAAATTTAAGATTCAATGCTATTCCCATTAAAGTACCATTCTTCACAGAACTAGAAAAACACTATTTTAAAATTTGTACAGATACAAAAAAGAGCCTGAGTAGCCAAGACAATCCTAAGCAAAAAGAACAAAGCTGGAGACATCACACTAGTGGATTTCAAACTGTACATCAGGGCTACAGTAACTAAAACAGCATGGTACTGGTACAAGAACAGACACGTAGACAAATGGAACAGAATAGAGAACCCAGAAATAAGACCACACACCTACAACTATCTGATCTTTAACAAACCTTATAAAAACAAGCAATGGAGAAAGGATTTCCTATTTAATAAATGGTTCTGGAAGAACTGGCTAGCCATACGCAGAAAATTGAAACTTTACCCCTTCTTTACACTATACACAGAAATCAATTCAAGATAGATTAAAGACTTAACTGTAAAACCCAAAACCATAAAAACCCTAGAATAAAAACTAGGCAATATTATTCAGGACATAGGTATGGGCAAAGATGCCATGATGAAAATGCCAAAAGCAATTGCAACAAAAGCAAAAGTTGACAAATGAGTGTAATTAAACTAAAAAGCTTCTGCACAGCAAAAGAAACTATCAACAGAGTAAACAGACAACCCATAGAATGGGAAACAAATTTTACAGACTAAGCATCTGATAAAAGTCTAATATCCTAATTTATAATAAACTTAAACAAATTTACAAGAAAAAAACAATGAACCAGATAAACAAGTGGGCAAAGGACATGAACAGACACTTCTCAAAAGAAGATATATATGCAGCCAACAATTAAATGAAAAAAAGCTCAACATCACTAATCATTAGAGAAATGTAAATCAAAACCACAGTGAGATACCATTTCACAACAGTCAGAATGGCTATCATTAAAAAGTCAGAAAATAACAGATGCTGGAAAGGTTGTGGAGAAAAAGTAGCAATTTTACAGTTGGTAGAAGCATAAATTAGTTCAACCGTTGTGAAAGACGGTGTGGAGATTCCTCAGAGACCTAGAGACAGAAATACCATTCAACCCAGCAATCCTATTATTGGGTATATACCTAAAGGAATATAAATTGTTCTATTACTAAGATGCATGCATGCATGCATATGTTCATTGCAGCACTATTCAAAATAGCAAAGACATGAAATCAATCTAAATGTTGGTTATTAAAAAAAATGTGGTACATATACACCATGGAAAGAAAAGGAAAGAAAATGTGGTATATATACACCACGGAATACTATGTAGCCATAAAAAGGAATGAGAGCATGTCTTCTGCAGGGACATGGATGGAGCTACAGGACATTTTCTTTAGCAAACTGACACAGGAATAGAAAGCCAAATACCACATGTTCTCACTTATAAGTGTGAGCTAAATGATGGGAATACATGGACACAGAGAGGGGAATAATACACACTAGGGCCTGTTGGAAGGTGGGGGGGTG